ATAAATAATAATTATTATTACATATACCAATATTCAATGGATTCAATATGTAGTTACTTACTTCGGTTCTAATCCATAAGAAGTTGGTATAATATACCTTATTTCAATGAGAGTAAGAAAAAAGTTGATAAGTTCTCTATTATAGTTCACTGATTTATGAATATGTTTCATCTTCACAATGGTCAGTGTAGCTAAAAATGGAGTTTTAAAACTTATTGATTTGAAGTAGAATAACTGGAATTTGTTGGCTAATTTACTTGGTATCACATTGGTCTATCTTTATTATGAGTAGTCTTATAATAATAATAATAATAATAATAATAATAATAATAATAATAATAATATCTCTAATATAACTGAATAGAAAAAATTATTTAACATCCAACCAATTGGTCATTGTCTTTCGAGTTATGATCGATGAATAATATTTATTCCAAGCAATGACCGATTTCGTGATGCAACACCTTCATAAGATTGGTTGAATATTTAGATTGACTAGACACTATTGCTTTCATTTGTGTTCACTCCTATTTGTAGATTATAATACTTAAGAATACTTAAACATGTCGAATGGTTCGATAGAGCAATATATTTATTTCCACAATCGGTACTATTTCTATAATTTACCTTACTTTTAATAAATAAGCATTTTTATTAAGATTAAGTATAGCAAATAATCATTGTTAAACTAACTATTGAGCATTTTGCACTAGTTACGATTATAAAGAATAAAGATAGAGAAATAAGTAGAATAGAAGACTGTCAATTATTCTATTTGACTCTCACTAACTTTCATATATATAAGTATATATGTGACTACGTAGATCAAAGTGAATAGTACAAAAACATATTACATTGTTCAGAATATTTCTGTCTTCTCACAGGTCTATCGAAATTTATCAAAATGGGATTAGTTCACTTGGTATTATTTGCTTGAATCTTCCCAGTGATTTTCGAGTCCCAGAGTGAACATCAACTTTCAGATGCAGGTACATCCAGATGATGAGTCCCAAACGGGACGAAACGCGCGTCCTGGATTCCACCGCTAGCCACTATCCATCTTCGGGATTAGTTGGTTTACATCTTTTTTCTTTGTTTTATTGCTTACTTTAATGAAGTATCCATTTTGAACAGATAAAAAACGTTAGAAAACAACTGTAACTACGAGTGACGATCGCGAATTCACAAGACTAACCATGCGAATCGAGAGATTTTCGCTAATTACAGCAGTTCATGTGGTTTTCGTGACAACCAGTGATTCACTAAAGTTAGGATAATTTTACCTTAAAAGTTTTGTGAATTTCCAAATCCTACCAATATGACATTTTGTTATATTATCCACTGAAGTTGTTTTAGCTACAAGCTAAATACTTTTATTATAGACCGGCTGATATGGTCTGTTGTCAGTCATTTATAACAATTAAAAACTGGGACAAATGTACAATGACTTATGTGACCACACATCTTATCGCAGCAGAGTGAGACGACTAATAAGATGATAAATAAAGCGATCGAAAAAAAAACAATCATCGGCCGAAAAAATCCAATATAAATCAGTTGGATATAATTCAGAATTAACGTACGAAATTGATGAATGAAAAGTATGAGAGAACACTAAGATCTAAAATATATACGAATAAAAAAGATGAGTACATTTGCACCTTTATGACCGATTACAAGCTGTTATTCATAAGATCATCAACTAATAGTTATGATTACTTTTGTAAACTTTAGACGGAAATCATCCATCCAACAATTAATGACTTTATAATTTGACACCATGGTCTGCATTTAATCGTCTGTGGAATTTATCCAATCTACTCATACGCTAGTCCTCATAGAACATCGGGTTAAGTGATGGCTAGGAATGAATAAATCATGTCCCAAACAAATCACCTAGTGTTAATTCATATTCTCATCAACTTATTTACTACTTACTACTTACTTACATTTTGTAAATGCTTAACCAGTGTTCTGTCGTACACATGTTTAATGCTTCAAAACAATTGCCCATCCATTTAGAAAGTCATGATATTTTCTAATGTTAGACTAAGTTGGAGTGTATACGGTTACACCACTAATTCCAACATCAGTACCAACCACATTTTGGTAGAACGTCCCATTTTAATCATCACTACACTTTGCATTATCATCTGATCAATATTCATCAAATTATATTGAAAGTTAATTCTTTAAATAGTCAATATAGTTTTAACTTATAAACATAATAATTAAATTTTAGATTTTCTTTTATTTTGTTAACTTATTACCTAATTTTTAGCATGAATCATGGTTCTGTAACTTAGAGTATATTTTGTTTTTCTTCACTCAGTTTTATTTAATTACTTTTTGCTTATCAGTATACAGAGCTTTGTTTTTTTTCTAGAAATTATGGAAAACCATAGTTTAAATCACAAATTGATCCAAGTTAACTAATAAATCACTGGAAACCAGGAAGTACTGAATTCATTATGAGAACTGAAAATCCAAGGTTTGATAACTGATTGATTTATGGATATACATTGTTCAAGAATTTCTAACTAGAATGAAGCAATTGTGCTCTTCTTCATAGTGCTTATCAGTTTGTTTGTGACATCGAATTCTCTTCTTACTGAGAACAATTCGACTGAATACGTTTGTCAAATAACTGTACTTTGTTATTTACGTATACATATATGTATAAATAAACAATAAACTTAAAATTCTTACTGTTTACTGTCAATTATTTGATATTCACTAATGGTTTTCACTTGTATTATCCTTTTTACAACATAAAAATATATTCACTAATTTTCATTCATAAAATAAGTCAAAAACAAAACAAATGTGTTGATAATCCATGAAAATGTCAAAGGTTTCTTTCTTCATATGAATAACATTAACTATGATGGGAAGAAAGGAATAGATCTTTTTTTTAAAAAATAAGTATTTCTAACTAATAGTTTTCTGAATGAATTACATCTTTTGAGGCTACAATTTCATAGGAAAAATAACATAAGTGATCTTTAAAAAACAAAAAAATTCTTAAATTTGACAAGAAATTAACTTGATGCTGTTTTTTTCTCCTAAATTGTAACTAGTTGGTAATTGTAAAATAAATCAAATTAAGAAAATGACATTCTATTAATTGACTTACATATAACATAGTATACAAAATTACAATGAACAAAAGATTACAACTTTAAATGAACGGTACATATCATATTTGATATATAGAATTTATCTATTAGCATTGTATTTCAGTTTTTTACGCTTCTTAAATGATCACTTGTTTTTTTTGGGAAATCAAAAAAGAACAAAAACGTTGTGTTCTTTTTTATTAGAAATATTATGTTGTCTAGACCTAGATCTCCAAACTTTGTAATCCATTATCGATTAAGGTATAACAGAAGCATTTACAAAATGTAAACTGTTTCCATAACAAATCCTTAATTCTTTATAAAGAAGAATTGTCTCAACTTTAGAATTTATGTTTGTTTGTAGTACTCCATTGATTACAATTGTTCGGAAGATAGTCATGTACTTAATGATACCAGTCATATGACAATTACTTTTAATGGTATAGTTTAATTAAACGCATTCACAAAATCCATAACTATCAAGACTGTAGATAATTTCCAGGAATAAATGTTGGCTTAGGTTTGATAAACAAAAGATTCAATAGAAGTTCATGTCCATACAACACAGTTGTGACTTATATCAGTGATGGTTGTCTTGTGTTCCCTACAATCAAACACATTGTTCAAGCCATTAATAATAATAATAATAGTCAATTTTTCCTTGTTGTCTCATTCAGCCTCCTTATTGATTCTATCTGTTCGGACTTTGATAAACATATTGTAAGGACTCATAGCAATTGATAAATCAGTATTTCACTAAATCTCTTATTCATTTTCCTTTCATTAATGGAATTTCCTATAGAAACAAAATAGAACCTAAGGAAAGAACATTGTGGCAACTTATAAATCCCTTCAGAAAAAAAGGGCTTCACACACTTAGCGAGGTTGTGAAGGCTGCATTTTAGCGAAGTAAAAAATCATAACTCGTCATTTCTAAAAGCCTAAACAACAATGATTCAAGTTTCTTAGTTCCGAAGTTATTAGTAATTACCTTCAACCTTGTAGCTAAACAACTTCGAGGTGCAATTAGTGATATTCCAGTCTGTACAATATTAAGAGACTAACTAGATATATTCACCAGAATACTTATTGTTTGACATCAGTTGGATATTGGTAGTTATGCACTACAAATTGTAACATCAAGTTGTAGTACAGTTTAATTCAAACGACATCAAAGTCGTTTGATGGAGTCTATCATTAAGGAGGTGAGACTTGATTAAACTAAGCAGAGATTGAATTTCTACTGTGATATATTTTGTTGATCTGACACTCAACATTTAGTTTTAACAAAAATTTGTGGCAAGATAAAATGAGTGATTAAAATACACTCAGTAACACAAACAGAAGTAGTTCAGCAGTTTAAAAATCCCCATATTCAAAACAGACAATATTCGAGCGAAGTGTTTTCAGTAGCTTTATCGTCAGGCTCTAATGCATGCATTATTTTTTCCTCTGCAAAATGTCACAATGATTATGGACTTATAACTGTAGAGCCTAATGATGAAGTTATTGGAAATAATTGTTCGATCAAACATTCTTTGTTTTAGAAGTGGTTCACATTATTTTTCTACGAAATAAGCTTACTACGATTTACCTGAATGAGACTATAGTGCTTGTAGTGAAGCTTAGTTACTTTTATCAAAGAAACTTTGAAGCTTGAGAAGCTTCTAACTCATATTTGAAAATCGACATACCTATAAACACAACGACTTCATTATCGTCGATTCTGTAGACAATAACTAATAAACTGCGTTGTGGTTTGAAAAGAGATATATACATCGACTGTAGATGCATTTAGCTTTACAAAGTCATAAGTGGGAATCCCATTCATCCCGTAGGCGGTATACATACAGATATCCATAGATATAACTAACTAGATTTCGTCATATATAACTGTATATTTGACACAACTAAATAGAGGAAAAAATTTACAAACAGTAGTACCCATTGTGGATGTAGATTAACAGATGTCAATAAGAACAAAGTATTTTACAACAGAAATTTTTTTAGTAAAATCCGAGAAACGATCACACACTCAAATTACTTATTTCTAAATTTATCTCAAACTAAAGTCGTTTTCATTTCTTAAACACTTGAAAACCTACGACGAACACTTGTAGATAGATTTTCACATCACACTTTTGGCCAATTTCAGCAGAGAAAAATAAACTTCAGATGTTGAAAACACCCACACTGGATAGTACAATTCTATAAAAAAATTTCCAAGATTTTTCCATTTAGTCGGTATGATAACAGTAAAAATCTTTATAGATTTCCGGTTGTGATAAATTTGATGTTCACAATTTGAATCTTGTTATTTTGCCTACTTACAAGTAGTTAAATAAACCTCAAAAGCTTTTTGTGACACAACAGGAGGGAATGTATGACTGGTAATTTTAAAAACCCATTAAACTGATGAAAGATTATTGAGACCAAAATAAAATCTTGATAAATAAGATGTATAATGATATTCTGCATAAAATTACTTATACTGTTCAAATTGAATATAAGTCATAAATTCTATCTGTCCATGATTACAAGGATACAATTCATAAATAATGGTTAGATGAATAATTAAATGGTCAATAAAAGTTTATTGTAAAAATGTAAAATTATATATGCCAATTTCATATTGCTTTAGTTGTTTCCTAGGTCACCAAAATGATTTTTTGGGTCATATGCTGAAAAATAAGAGTGGAAGGAAGTTGAAATTAATACAATAAATTGTTAAGAAAATAAGTAAAAATTTAGAAGGTTACTATGCTGTAATTGATTATGAAAAGTTTTCCAAAGTAAATATTATACTCAGATGAATAAAATAATCATGAGACACCTTTTTGGAATAAACGTGTTTAAAACTAGGTACTTCCACTTATTCTAAGGTGGTTGTACATTTTAATGAGATTTATGAGATCGAATTAACCGACCACTTGATTAATAGATCAATGTAGCTTTAATATATATGAATAAATTAACAAAAGTGAAACTTATCAGGAAATATGTGTACGGCGATTGGTACTACGCAGTACAAAATATTAACTTGAAAAAGAGACTTTCATTTTATCCTAATTATGAACACAGATTTCGCTATGATTCAAACTACATTACGTTACTAAGACATATTCAACGTAGGATTTCATATAATTAGGCATCAAGGTAAAATTCTATTCGAGACGAAATTAACGGGATGGGTAGCAGGAAAATCGAATGAATGGTAGAATGAATTATAGTAGCAAAGACTAAATATAGTAAATATGACTGAAAAATAGGGAGAGAAATAGAAGGACAGCATTATGAAGTTATGTTGAATGCATCCAATCAGTCGACAGTAATTTTCAGTCAAAGTGGCTAAGACATCCAACCATTGAACACGACCCAATCAAGTAGTTTGTATCCGACAACTAAACACAAACAAATAATCTGGTCACTCCTAACATATTTCCAATCATTTATACTCTAAACACGGTTGCGCATCGAAGAACACTTTGGCTGATCATGTAAAACATATTTATTCTAGTCATCTCAGCCCATGAAGATTCATATCACAAACATTACTGACTCAAGCAGTTAGTTGTGTTTAGTATATGTCTTTTTTCATTAGGGTTAGCCAAAGAGCGTGTATACACAGCACTCGAACCTAGGACCTTCGGTCTCGAGCAAACACTAAACCTCTAGACGACTGAACTGATATTCGACGGTGCCGTTGTCTAACTTCAACCAATCCACAATATTGCGAGACCGGTTTCCATTGTCTTCAGTGGGTAACTGCCTCACACCCAACACGACTGAACTCCACTGGTGACGGCTTCTCACTAGAACTCCGAGAAAAACCTCTCGCTTAAACTTTATAAGTAATAGCTAGTTGGAAGAAGCCTTATCCCAGGTTAAAAATAAAATGATGATGCAGATATAAGTTGAAAATGATTGTCAGCTTTTATAAACAGGACCATTCATTCCACTAGTATGAAAATCCTCGCATATTATCACTCACTTGTAAATGTTAGCTGAACAAGTTAGCACGTTAAACAATATCAACATTTATTTGCAAGTTAAATTGATTACACCATGAACGCGCCTATGAAATATAATCTTAAACACAAATAAGCTTGATTTCTAAATAGTTTATTGAAAATATGTCTTCTAGATCATCTGTACCCACAAAATATTCGTTACATTTGAGGAATTATCTAAAACTACTGCCCAAAGCTCAAGCAATACAGTGTGAAAAAATATTTATACAGTACACTCGCATACCCATGACCTCGAGCTGCAAATACACTCAATTGACATTACATCATGAAATAAACTACTTACAACTATATATATATATATATATATATATATATATATACTGCCTAGTTTTCATTACGTTGGAAAATCAGTTTGCAGTTAGAATTAGATTGCTCACCTTCTACAGAAACTTTTGTCATAGATTTTTTATCAGTTGTTTTTTTATCATTGGTTTCATGACATTTTTCAAATATTTCCTCTAAATTTAAACCAGCATTTTGGATAGATGCATCAAATTTTGCTTCAGCACGTTTACGAGCTACAATTTGACTTTGTCTTGTTAACAACAATGGTTTAGATGCAACACGTTGTTGAATTGCATTCAATTCACGTTGATATTCTGCTTGACGAGTTAAATCATTTTGACTAATATAAAAAGAATTTACATAGATAATATCAAATAAATAATAGATCTCAATATTGTCAGAATAAGTATGAGTAAAGTCCCTTAAACGAAATGACTATTATAATACATAAGTTATCAAACGAAACTGGATTTCACTTCCCGAATTTTTCAGACCATTTTATTTGTGAATTTTAAATACTCTTCTGTTTACAATATAATTATTTGTCAACATTAATTACTTTTTTACTATTTCTGAAAATACTGGATGTTAAAATTATAAAAAAGCACCGTTGGGAAGAAATGCAAATGTAATAAAACTTTGATATGTATTGTTTTAGCAAATGGTTTATATAATTTACTTTTGAGTGTTTCGGAAAATTCATAAATCCTTACTATATGGGATCTGAAGAGCTTGATGAATTTCATAGTTTACATCACAGACTGTTTTTAGTTAGGCAATGATTGAAAAACAAGAAGCACTGGACAGCTGTTTCGTCTCGGTATATCATTCCTCAGTAACTCACATTCACCAAACCACTACAGATCAAACATATGACCTTCAGGTTTCATTGACAATCTTTAACCTGAAGAACACTCAGTCAATCGTTTGTATTTCTACCTTCAGTCAATTTTAGATATTGTGAAATCAACTCCCAATGCTATTGATGGATAACCGTCCCACACGCGACATGAACTCCATTGGTTACATCTTCTCAATGTAAGTCCAAAAATTACGTCTCAAATTTAACTACTAATGAGCATATGATTATTATTATTAGAGGTATGTGAAGATTGTCACATTCCTGAGTTTACGTCATGAACTGCTGGAGAATTTCATACTAGGATAATGCAGCTGTTCAGTTCTTGCTGATTTTCTAATGGTTGTCTAACTAATATCATTTAGTGATATAAACTGTGAAATTTATAAATTATTCAGTCACAAATTCTATCACTTAATCATCTCATCAACATTATTTCATCAATGCTTTAATTTAGCTCCCTATATTATTTGACAAAATAAATAATATATTAAAATAATATAATATAAATTTGTCTATATTTAAACACTTACACTAACTGACGTTTACGCTCTTCAGTAATTGAATTGATAAGTTGTTTAGGTGATATGATTTGTCCGCCTAATGTTTCTTTCATTGTATTGGACACTTCTTTCTGTTTCATTTTTCTTAAATATTCTGTTTCTTCTTTCTTTTTTGCATCTAAATCTGCTTTAGCCAGTGAATTTCTAAATGCAACGAAATAAAACAATAAATAATTAAGATAATAATAATACTAACGTGTTAGCCCTACTAAGGTTATCTAGGTCGACAATGAAATCTTCGTTGCTAAGTATTAATGATGAACAGAAAGTAAGTAACAACTATTACCTTCTTCCTGAATAAATATTATCAAACATTTTTGGAGGGGGGTGGAAGGGTTTATAAAGTGTTTATGCTTTAAGTGATTTAAAGTTAACGAATATATTTAGCAAAACATTTCAGACCTTCTCATAATAACAAGTTTTTAATGGGAAACATATGGTCTATTTAATGTCTCCTTTAGATAAACAGTTTTATTATTTTATTTATCATTATACATCGGTATTTTTAGTACACAGAACTGGCTTATGAGATTGTTTTCAAATTCATAAAATTTTGTTTTACAAAATATGTTAAGCTGAAATTTTTCAGACAAAATTATATTTGAAGATAGTTGTTAGCGGGACATAGACTAGATTAAAGCATGCTCAATGCATGATTGCTTTGGTGCACGCTGATTGGCTAATTCTTATCCAATCAGCACTAGTCGATAGTTGGAGAATACTCTGGAATCTTCTTATGTAAAAACTATAAATATACTGACGTTTTCCCTATAGTGCTTCTGACTTGCTTCTTACTTCCATCTAACCTTGTTATTTGGAATATAATCTCTTCCTGTTCAACCATGTTTTGATTTGGGGACTTATCGAGTGAATCGGTGTCCGAGAATACTAAGCAATAGGAATAGCTGGGTCATAACCGTAAGAAAAGAGAGATATATAACAATAGTATTCATCAAAGATTAACATAGGTAGTAATCTATCACAAAGTCATTCGGGTCATGGGTGAGTAGAGTTAAAGAGTTCCAAACTAGGACAAAACAGCTATCCGATGTCCCCTGCTTCCAGTGGCTTTATTTACTTACTTACTTACTTACGCCTGTTACTCCTCGTGAAGGAGCATAGGCCGCTCACCAGCATTCTCCATCCAACCCTGTCCTGGGCAATCCCTTCTAGCTCCGTCCAGTTGTAATTCATCCTTTTCATATCTGCTTCTATTATCCGACGCAATGTGTTCTTTGGCCTTCCGCTTTTTCGCTTCCCTTCAGGATTCCAAGTTAGGGCTTGCCTCGTGATGCAGTTCGACGATTTGCGTAATGTATGTCCTATCCATTTCCATCGTCTTTTCCTAATTTCTTCTTCAGCTGGAAGTTGGTTTGTTCTCTCCCACAGAAGGCTATTGCTGATGGTATCCGGCCAATCGATGTTGAGTATCTTGCGTAGACAGTTATTTATAAATACTTGTACTTTCTTGATTGTGGTTGTTGTAGTTCTCCAAGTTTCAGCTCCATACAGTAGAACTGCCTTGACGTTCGTATTGAAGATTCTTACTTTGATATTGGTTGAAAGTTGTTTTGAGTTCCATATGTTCTTCAATTGTAGGAAAGCGGCCCTTGCTTTGCCGATCCTCGCCTTTACGTCTGCATCGGATCCTCCTTGTTCATCGATGATGCTTCCCAGGTATGTGAAGGACTCTACATCTTCCAGAGTTTCGCCATCAAGTGTGATTGGATTGCTGTTCTTTATTTGGTGTCGGTCAATGACGAACACTATCCTCAAGTTGAACTTATCTTCACAAAATATCAACTAAGTATAAAAGTGATTTATACTAATTATAGAATGTTACGAACAAATTACCAGTTCACTTATATTATTATATGATGTATATATATATATATATATATATATATATATACTTGTTAAACTACATGATAATCTGTTAGGTTCGTTAACCTTGAGGATACTACTGATTCGACTTATTCGGAACGGAACGAAGGCTCAGGATTCAGAGACTCAATAGACTATTCTGGTCCGTTGTCTTCGACTCAGCTAACTCGATCAAGAAGTCTTGGTAAGGCGTAGAAAGTGTATTCTACAAGCAACAGCAGATACCAAGTCAGGCAGGCAGATCAGATCAAGCATACAAGTTAAGCGTATTTATACAATTATTTACAATCGATATTGTCATAGGAAATTTTTAAACATTAATCAATGAGTTCATCAATTGACCTATTTGCGCATTTAATCGATAGTTCATCAATTGACTCCAATACAAATATTTAAACGTTTAATCAATAAGTTGATCGATGCGATAAAATTCAAAATATGAGTTTGGGGATCTATCGTCCCCAACACTCCTCCCCTTTTTAATAGCGGGCTTTCCTGGGGTCAACCTGCATCTTGACTGTAGCTCGCCGTTCTCTTATAGGCCATCGTCTGGGACGTGTTTCAGATTGTTGTTGGGGTTTTTCTTGTGGTAGGGTTGCCGGTAAGTTGAAAGTATCAAGCAAGATGTCGAGAGGAAGATTTAGTCCTGTTGATGGGTGGTCTGGGGCTATCCGCTTACGTAGTTGATTTCGGTGTCTAGTCCATGTGTCTCTTCCCACCTTTACCTCGTACATAACTTGGCCTAGTCTTCCAACCACACGTGCTTCGATCCAAGGACCATGATTCGCTCTGTAGTCTCGAGCGAACACAGGGCATCCAACCTTGTACTCTGGAAGCTTCTGAGATTTGGTCTGAGATGGTGGTGGTGTGCTTCTTGGGCACATGAGACTGTGGATCGTCCTCAATTTTCTTCCCATCAGGATCTCTGCCGGGGACTTCTGCTGTGGTAGCATATCGCTAGGTGTTGTTCGGTAAACAAACAAGAAATTCTGCAGTGTTTCTACTGGCGTCCCCTCCCCTTTCGACTTCATTAGAGCTCTCTTGAATGTATCCACAAATCTTTCTGCTTGTCCATTTGACTGTGGGTGGTAAGGTGGAGAGCGGAAATGCTTGATTGATAGGCGTTTGCAAAATTCTTGAAATTGGCTTGAGGTGAATTGCGAACCGTTGTCGGAAACGATTATATCCGGTAACCCATTGCGAGAGAACATCTCTGTCAACAGTTGCATCGTTTGGGTTGTCGTTGGTGGCATGACGGGAACGATTTCTGGCCATTTCGAAAAGGCGTCAACAACGACTAGATAGGTGATTCCATTAATTGGGCCTGCGAAATCGACATGTATCCTGGACCAGGGATACTCAGGCTGTGGCCATGGGACTGGTAGTATTTTCGCGTTACACTTAGCTGCTTGCTGACATTGTGTGCACTTGCTTACTAAATCCACGATATGTTGGTCCATGAGGGGCCAATAAGCATAGCTTCTGGAGATGGATTTCATTCGTTTTATGCCAGGATGACCAGTGTGGAATTGCTTTAGCACCTTTGATCTTAGGGATTCTGGTACCACTACTCTATCTCCAAACATCAAGCATTCGTTTACGACGCATAATGAGTCCCGACGGTGGTAAAGCTGTTTCAAGTCACCATCGAGTCCAGTCGGCGGCCAGCCATTTGTGACGTATTTCATCGCTCTCTTTATGATGGAGTCGTTCTTGGATGCAGATTGTATTTCAGCTGCTGAGACTGGCAAAGCACGAATAGCAGTTGTCAGGTAGCACTGCGCGTAGTCCTCTGTCATCAGGGATGCAATAACTGTATCTTCGCCGGCCGTATGGTGTTCGCCGATAAGTCGTGACAAGGCGTCAGCCTGACCAAACTGTTGAGTGCGCCGATACTGAATGTCAAAATCATAACCCAGAAGTATCAAAGCCCATCGTTGGAGACGGTTTGCAGAATGGGCTGGAACACCAGATTTCGAACCGAAAATTGTGAGAAGAGGCTTGTGATCAGTGAGAAGAGTAAATCTTCGACCGTACAAGAATTTGTGGAAACGGCGTACTGCAAACACAAGAGCCAGAGCCTCTTTTTCTATTTGACTGTACTTTCTTTCTGCTGAAGTTAATGTGCGAGATGCGTGCATAATAGCTTTCTCTGTTGCGTCCGGGAACTGATGTGAAATGACAGCACCGAGTCCAAAAGCTGAAGCGTCTGCAGCGACAATGATAGGCATGGACGGATCGTAGTGCGTCAATAATAGTTCAGAGCTAATGATGGTTTTCAGCTTGCAAAATGCAGCTTCACATTCTTTTGTCCAATTCCAGCTGGTATTCTTATTCAGAAGATGATTTAGCGGGGCGCGTATGTCATGCATCGACGGAACAAAAGCTGAATAGTAGCTAATTAGTCCCAGGAATGATCGTAGCTCAGAGATATTAGTGGGAGTTGGCATCTGTTTTATAGCTCGGATGTTTTCCGGATCTGGTCTGCGACCTGCGGCATCAAAGATGAATCCCAAATATTTAACTGACTTCAAGAAAAACTGGCATTTTTCTGGGCGTAATCGGAATCCGTTATCGCTGATGCGTTGTAGTACAGCTTTCGTGCGTTCTCTAAGCTGTTCTAACGATGTGGCAACAATTAAGATATCATCGAGATAAGTTGCGACCCCCGGGATACCCGATAGAATGGTATCCATTAGTTGCTGAAAAATAGATGGAGCTGTTTTAACACCAAATGGTAGGCGATTGTACTGAAACAAGCCACGATGAGTATTTATGGTAAGTAACTCTTTCGAATCTTCAGCCACTTCCACTTGTAGATAAGCATCAGCGAGATCCAGCTTTGCAAAGAACTTCCCACCATTTAACATCGTGAACAAATCTGCAGGGACTGGCAGTGGGTAGTGATGCTGTTCGAGAGCTGCGTTAAGACCTGTGGAAAAATCTGCGCATATTCGGATTGTGCCATTAGCCTTCTTAATAACCACAATGGGTGCTGCCCAGGCAGAATAAGAAACAGGTGTAATAACTCCTTGTAGTTGAAGGCGGTTAAGTTCTTCGTCAACTTTTGATAATGCTGCGTACGGCACTGGTCTTTTTGGACGAAAGACAGGTTTAGCTCCAGGTTTCAACCGAAGTGTTGCTTTCATAGCAGTGCACTGACCCAATACAGGTTGGAAAATGGTTGAAAACTCCGTCATTAGTTCTTTCGAATATGCTTCAGGTTCATGAGGTTGTTTCACCAGATGGCATACGGTGCTTAAAGGAACGTCAGCTAAATGTAGCTGGTCAAACCAGTCTAACCCAAGTAGATTAAGATCAGCTGGTGTGATGTAACATACACCGGTAAACGTCGAATCGTGAAAAGACACTTTACAATCTAGTTGTCCCAACAAACGTAGGTAATTACCGCATGCAGTTCGAGGTTTTTGTGTTGTTGGAACCATGCGTGGTCTTCCCATTCTGATCCAATATTTCCGTGAGAGAATTGTTACATCGGATGCAGTGTCTATTTGCAATCTAAATGGGTGCCCGTTAATATTAAGGGTAATAAATTTCCTCTCAACTGGGCATGAGTTCTCACAGCTTGCTATTAGACTCAACGAATTCGTGTTGGATCTAGGCGTAGGCTTCCTGGTACCTTTGGAGTTGCTTGGCTTCTTTTTTCGACAAAAACCATCTTTATGACCCACCGTGTTACATTTCCTGCACCGATGTTGCTTATATGGACAGTATCGAACAAAATGCCATGCACCGCAGTGCCAGCATGGGGCAGGAGGATTTGTTTTTGTCTTTTGACTTGAACTGGATGCTGCTGGGGCAGATTTATGCGAGTTGCGTGGTTGTTGGACTACATGAACTTCAGCACGATCTGAACCACCACGCTGGACCATCGTAGTGTCACGCTGTAGATTGATTAGGCGTTGATATTCGTTTGCAATATCATTAAGGGTTAGTTTTGGGTCTTGGTCCAATCGACTTAGCAAACGTGTTCTAATGTCACTGAACTTCTGTGATTGAAGGCTGCAGATAAGAATGAGTGCTTTAAATTGGTCTTCTGTAAGCGACTTCAACCGGAAGCGTTCACATTCTCGGTTAACGATACCCACATGTGTGAGAAAATCAGCATCTTCGTTCATAGTGAGCTTCAGACATCGATAACGCGCGTTGAATAGTGAGGAGTTGTCTCCGAATTGTTGGCTCAATGACTGGACAGTGTCCGAGAATGAGCGATCGCGTGGGTTTAGAGGCAGAATTAGGTTGCAATACCTGTCTAGTTCATTAGGACCCAACTTTCGAAGCAGCAAGCGGACCTTCCAAGCATCATCCTGATTAGCAAAGTCGAATTTGAATAAGTCTTCGTAACGTCGAAACCACATATCAAACGTGACATTGGATTCTGGATCGTAATGAAACTCGGAGATACTGTTAGCGATACCATCAACTGATGGTGCAGTGATAGTAGGATTAGAACTGCTTGGTTGAGTATTAGACGTAAGCTTTGCATCCGCTAACATCTGAATAATTTTCGTTTGCTGCTCGAGTAATAATTCAAGTTTAGAAGGATCCATGTTTCCAAAACCACCGTCGCCAAATTGTTAGGTTCGTTAACCTTGAGGATACTACTGATTCGACTTATTCGGAACGGAACGAAGGCTCAGGATTCAGAGACTCAATAGACTATTCTGGTCCGTTGTCTTCGACTCAGCTAACTCGATCAAGAAGTCTTGGTAAGGCGTAGAAAGTGTATTCTACAAGCAACAGCAGATACCAAGTCAGGCAGGCAGATCAGATCAAGCATACAAGTTAAGCGTATTTATACAATTATTTACAATCGATATTGTCATAGGAAATTTTTAAACATTAATCAATGAGTTCATCAATTGACCTATTTGCGCATTTAATCGATAGTTCATCAATTGACTCCAATACAAATATTTAAACGTTTAATCAATAAGTTGATCGATGCGATAAAATTCAAAATATGAGTTTGGGGATCTATCGTCCCCAAATTGAGATTTATTGGTAACGACGATAATCACAACTTGTCTATACAGACTGATGTGACAACTTGATGTGTGATTTTTCTACTTCGGATAACTCAATTACAACTCAGTGGTCAACAAATTCTAAAATTAGTTCATTTATGACTCAGCTGAAACTTTAACAAGCGTCACCAACACATAGTCGCTATCACCCTTGTTTTTTTTTCTTCTGAAAACTATAGATTTCCATTAAAAAAATGAAAAAATTAAAATGTCTAGAATGAGTAGCGGGTTGACATTAAACTGGTAATGTTTTCGAATACTACTGGTATCCATCACGTGTTTTCTTAGCAGTTAAACAAAATTAACTGTAAACATATTCGCATGTATATATATGCCGGCTTAGTGGTTTAGAGATTAACCCTCCGTGCACGAGATCAAAGGTCCTGGGCTCGACTCCTGCGTGCGGAATAGTTAATGCACAATGTCGAGAAGTCATAGACTAGGACGAAACGGTCGTCCAGTGCTTTTAGGTTTTCAATGATGACCTAACTTAGTTCAGTTCATGATCTCAATGAAAATGAACAATATACATGATCGCTTACAGACAGTTATTTATTTTTTCTTTACACCTGCCAAAGAAAGACAAATAATAGATACTTAAACTTACCTAATATAATTCTCACGAAGAAAAGTTGATCTTGATAAGGCCGGTGGAATTGAAGAATCTAAAACTAATGGACAAAATACAATTTAAATAATTAGTAAATATTGACTTATATGAAAACTACGACCGCCTAAGTAAATCAATGAGAAAATTTTGACTCATTGAAATTATTCGACAAAACTTACCACATTATATTTCACATGACGATATACACATAAATAAATTCCTCCTATTTTATAATCACTAATTAAATAGTAGTAAGTTGCAACAAATTATGGTAAATTCTTTTAATAATTCTGTGAATTTCAATAATGGAGCTGTTATAGTATGAAGAGTACGAATAAACACTTACGATGGAGATTTCTGAATGTTATTAAAATCGAGAAACAACCCAGGCAAGATAATCAGTGAAAAACAGCAAGCACTGGACAGCTGTTTCGTCTCGGTATATCATTCCTCAGTAACTCACATTCACCAAACCACTACAGATCAAACATATGACCTTCAGGTTTCATTGACAATCTTTAACCTGCAGAACACTCAGTCAATCGTTTGTATTTCTACCTTCAATCAATTTTAGATATTGTGAAATCAACGCCCAACGCTATTGATGGATAACTGTCCCACACGTGACATTGTTGAACTTTACTGGTCACACCCAACCAGAACCAGAAAAATTATCGCTCGAAATTAGTCGATATATATTATGTCATTATATAACTACCGGGTATTATTTACTGTCAACTTATACATTGAGGTCACTGAGGCCACCTGTCAATTTATTTTACTGCCAGCGTTAATGATGAGCCTGATATGGTTTAATTTTATTGCTTGATTTTATTATTATTTAAGCTGTTTTTGATTTGATAATTATTTCATCACAAAGATTTTAAAGTATATTTTCTTCATTCTCTTACAAGACTATTTTATTTTATATTGTGCGGACCAATATTTTGGTTCGCAGTTATATCAGGTACTTATTTCATTTTTTTAATGAATTCATTGTCCTGTTATCATTAATTTATTACCTGGTTGTTTCACAATTGAATGAGAAATATTTTCTTCCATCCTTTTCATCTTACTTATTTCTAATGAACGACGATCAACTGAATTAGCACGTTCACTTGTTCGTAATTTAAATGATTTCGGTCTAGTTGGCTCTGGCGGTGGCTTCCATAAACGTCGAAGTGTTTTATTAGATTTCCAGTGTAACTGCTTAAAATCCGGAGCTGGATGATAGTAATGATATTGTTTTTGTTCTGTTTCTGGTTTATCTAAATCAAGAACAGCTGAAAGAAAAGTTGAAATTTACCAAGTTTACAGATTTGTTATCAGAACTACTATTGTAAAAAATTTCGATCGGCAAAATTAACACTTGTAATGTTCCATACTTGGCAAGCAAACATCACTCATTTACTCTAAAAATGATACAAATCTAGTATAAACTAACGATATATAGCAACAACACTTTAGCAGTGTTCAATTTTTACATTCAGTATGGAGAGAAGAACTGTTCTTTTAGAAGTAAAATTTTATTGTCCTTACAAAAACGATAGTATTCCATAGTTCGCTCGTACACTTCGCCTCTTATTGACATAGAAAAACAGAATGAAACTACATAATAAGAGACAAAACAACTAATTAAATAAAAAGCAATAACTATCGTAAGAAGTATGGTTTTTTATTCTATGGTAAAATTTCATTTCTTAACAGAAAGAGTTTAAATTGTAAAACAAAATACAAAGTTTCTAGAGTATTCCCAGAAATTTCCTTGTTTGTTTGCAGCCTACTCATACAGTATAGAATATCAATATAGATTAGTCAAGATTTAATACCAATAAGTCAATATTACAGAAACTAGCATGAACAGGATACTTCCTGTATGTATCTACCATTATAGAACTTCTATAAATAGAAACACACGATTCCATAGGTAATAATCAACATTATATTACTGTAGACTTAAATTTTCCAAATGCAATCTACGATTTTTTAAAAATTATTCAAAGATTATGTATTTCATTTGAAATGTGGTTTTTATTCAGTTAATTTCTGTATTCGTTCAGTGTCAACTTTTTTTTATTTGGTCTTAAGTAGATTTTACTTTGTTTATTAAATCTCAGTGATTTTGCACCCTAAGTGACAATTATTCAATTTACCCATTTATGTAACTAATAATCATTAATTTTTATTTGTATATAACTGAAAGCATTCGAATGTAAACCGAATTCTTCTTGGGCCTTTACCAAACAAATCATCCTTGTAAGATGTGTGTTTTACAGTAATTAGAACTGAAAGAGAAGGAAGCTGTCTTATCATGGTTTGAAAGGCACGTAAAATTATCGTCGTTGTAAAAGAATAGAGCAGATATGTTGCTGTGTTAACCCATCCAAACTACGATCTTTGTTCAACATTCACAAAACATATCAAATTAATATGATCGAACTATGTTTATTAAAATGACTTCAAAGTAATATTCATTTATCGGTTTGTGATTTTTATTTCTATCCCTGGTTATTCTCATTTGCTGGCTAACAAGTAACTTAAATTTATACCCATTCTCATTGAACATTACGTATGAAAAAAATAGTTCCGATTTCCCGAAAGAGTTGATTAATTGTTCCGCTTTTTAAGACTTTGTCAGTTTTGATTTGCGGATCGGGTTGGTGAGTGAATCATAAGATCGGCCATCTCTGTCATAGAACAGTTTTATCATATCAACTGAACCATCCTAACAACTCTTTCCCACGATGCCAATAAATAAAAACCCGGTTATTTAATTAATAATGAATTCACTTTCATGGTTTGAAGCATTTATCAACATCATCGGACAGCGTAACTTATCGATTTACATCATAACAACTTCAGAAAAGCAAAAATTATGAGCTTTATAGAAGAACTTTTGGCAAAATCCCATTGAAATTATTATGGCAGTAAAAACTACTTGGACGATCAAAATACCAGATATAAACGAATCTAAGTAACAGAAATCATCTGATTGTATTACTTAGGAGATGGGATTTCTACGTGCTGTTGAATCTGTCTCTTAACACAACTATTGAATTTAATGGAAATAAGCGAGGTGATTATTTAACTGACAAGTTATCCTGCTATGCGTTGTAAGAAATCCTTTCTTTTGTGTGTAATTGGTAACTAATAGGATTAGAAATATAGTGGAAAGCCGAATACTGATAAGTAAATCTCAAAGACTTACAAATTCGATTAAGTCTTTTATCTCTAGCTTTTCTTTCTTGCTTCCTCAGATTCATACGATGTTGTCGCTCCTCCATACCTGGCGGTAGAGAAGCCGACTGTATTAGTCTTTGGGCACGTAGGTGACGTTTAATTTGTTTTAAAAGTAAATCCTCTTGCATACGTTCAAATCTTTTTTCATATAACTGTGATGGCAAATTTAAAGGGTCTGGAGGTCCATCATCTTTAGAATGTAAAAGTTTCTTGTCAGAGCCGAAGTTCATTTCTTGCTCAGTCTTTTCCTGACTAAAGCTAAAATAGAAAATAAGATTTTTTGTTGACAAAGTGTTTAATTTATTTTTATGGCAGTTGATCTGCTTGAAACTTGATTTGTCCTTTCACTCCTGTTAACAAATAATCACTCAACAAAATTAAGTCACTTGATATAATTTTTGAAATTCAACAACTTTATAAAAACAGTAACAATAATCTAATTACAGAATATAGAAAAATAATAGCGTCTGTGAGAAAAAATATGAATTCATCATTTACGAAGGGAAAATACGCACCATCGATACTGCATTTTACAAGTTGAGTGTTTTAATTATCCAGCCACCATTTTTCTATCAGGGAAGCATTGCGATCTTAAATTTTCGAAATTTAATAGGCAAATTATTTAATAAATTGATTAGGAGTCGTTTAGTGATTTTGAATTCATTTGTTCAATCATCACTTAACAAAGGTTTATTCCAGATAACTTTCTTAAAAAGCATGGTCTTTTAACTTCACAGTTCTCCTAATTTTATTCTTAATCTTGATTATAGACTAGATTTGTGTTAATAAAGATGCTGAATATGGCTTAAGTAAATTATTGACAACTTTGTGAAGTTTTTTTGCCTCATACAGGCTACTTCTGATTGTTTAAGAACATGTTTCAACCTGTGTGAGCCACAATTTAGGAAACATCTAAAAAGATACAACTAGAAGTGAAGCTTGGTCAATTTTTATTTTAATCTCTATTAAGATTGTTAGTCGTATAAATTAAGCTTCATTGTGTATTGTAACCAATTATACGGATTTAGTCTAAGGTTTGTCGAAAAAGTTTCAGAAGTAACAACGTACTCTAACTATTTATTTACAGATGATAATTGAGAAAAGTTCTACAGAAGATGAACTGACACTTATGAAGATTCAATAAGAAAACGGACTACACTAATTTAATGATAGTGGTGTCTTATTCTAACAAATCATCGACGAGAATGGGATGAAAAGAGAATATGTTTTTGCTGTTATTTGGGAAAAAATCTGAATCTTAGTATGACTGTCATTAACTTTATTTTGAGTCGATAATTTCCATCATCATTTTAGTATGATGCTACAAGTCAGGTTGAACTAACGTGTAATAACCCAATAAAGTTAGCCTTTATCCCCGAAATGTTTTTATGTTCAACTCAAACGTGAGTAAATACTCCTCAATATGAAAACCACTGAAGTCATACACCTGAATTGCTTAAGCTACTAAACTGTGTTTCAAGATTATACTACAGATGAATAATGGCCATTGTTATACATAAATAGATATCAGTGAATCTGAGTATCAGTCACACACAACTACTTTCGGACGCAAGTAATATCAAAAGGATGCATTGTCTCTTTTACATACTCAAAGTTTCAATACTTATGTTTCTTGAATTTTATCTATTCATGTTTCTAAATTTAAGTGTATAAACGATAACAGAGGAAATATTAATCGGAACAGTTTTACGCTAACCAATCGTACTAGATATTCCTTCAGAACTGCCCAGACTTATATTTCATTTTCAAAACCTTTAAGGACCACCGTGAAACACAAACTCTGATTTAAAACATATGTGGTAAGTTAGTACATAAAAGATAAAGTATTTTACATAAATAAAAGCTTGATCTACTCACTCGTTCTGCTCTTTTTTAAGGTTCTCTCTAATGGTAAAGTTAAATGGTTTTTCGATTGATTTTAAGATTTCTTTGCGATACGCTCTGACAGCTTCACGTCTAAGAGTAGTATCTTCCAGTAATTTCTCATATAATGGCAAATACACATGTGAAGGTACTGGCTTAGCTTTAAATGGTCTGCCGAGATGCATATTAGCATTATCCTGAACAGTGGCAGGTTGTGAACGCCTGTTTTCACTTTGTAGATTTTTGGTACGTTTTAAAGATTCCTCTCGTTTTGTCATTTCAAAGGGTTCCGGTACAGTAATATGGTGTCTCCAAGATTTGACTGATGGACTAGACTCAAAAACAAAATTTTTACTGCGGTGGTTGTCAGTGGTTGTTTTATTTTCATCAATTTCTGAAAAAAATAGATTAAGAATGGATTCAAAGCAAGAATGAAATGAGAGGATTATTCATTATGTAGTGTTGCAAAATATGGTTAACGAGTTGTGAAACTCGAACTGATCTTAAAGTTAAAAAACCAAAGTGTGAATCTTTCAATACGACTCCGTGTCCGACGGTTATTCAGAGGCAGTGTTTGATTAAAATAGCTGTGTCAAGCATGCGAAATACCTTGAAAATATCATTTCAAGCTTTGTTAGTGTTTCAGTGATCGCAATGCTGGAAAGGTAGTTTTACATGACGGAAGTTGTCACCTGCAAGTCCTGATAAAGATAACCGATTATTATTTGGCAGTAGATAAATATTTGAGTAAGTCACACCCATCATTATTCATAAAGTAAACAGAACACTATTCTTTAAATTAATGATAGGTCCCCAACTCACACTGGCATAAAATCATATTTCACTATACGACTATGCGCATATACAATTAAAATTCGTTTGTGGTTAAGATGTGTAGTATTGTTGTATAGAAAACCTGGACACAACCAATTTGTGTCTGATTTAATTTCAGAACAATTGATTTTAGGATCAACTTATGTAACTTGTATGTACTTATAACTACGGTGTTGTTTCAACATGAAATCGTCTTCAGAATCAGTCTCACATCATATTCCGAGAAATAGTGTAGCATATTGAATTAGTCTTTCTGAACTCAGATTAACAAACCTTTTGAGTGACTAATCTACATCTCTTAAAATAGTAGGGGCTAACCCAAAACTAATTTCAATAAAACGGTGGTCTGGTAAACCTCAAACTACCTTTAGCCCCTGATGCCATGAACCACATTTATGTTAAGAAAACAAATACTATACTAGATTATGTTGTATTTGTTTAAACTTAAAAGGTATACCTGTATCGACAGAACATGAACTCTAAAGAAAGATTTAAAACACTAAATACAAGGTCATCATTGAAAATAGACCGAATCTAAGGGTCCACTGACCGTAATAAGAATCAAGAGTAACTCATTTTCGTTAATTCATATCACATAACCACCGTCAAAAAGTCTCAGGAAAAAAAAACTTTGTGCAAATAGGTGATAATTACATAAAATGTGAAGTGCATAACAAATCATACTCACCAATTTTTGAACACCCACATTCTTCGCTTTGTGTCTCCGGGACATTGCATTCTCTCGATCTAGAAAATTCAAAATTCTTTTCAGTACATCTAGATTTAGGTTCTTCTTGATGTAAATGACTACTTTGATTACAGATGCAACATACACTCTCAGAGCTATTAGGCTGACTTAACACTAAAATGTAAGAAAATGGACATACTTGCTCAGTGAATCCTTTGACACATCTTTATCATTAAGTTCTTCCGAAAAATTACCATCGTTTTGTTCCATATCAACTTTACCAGAACTGAAGTAAAGCTTCTCAATTATGTCGACAGTGTCCTTCTGCTCAGTTTTAAGCTTCATAAGTTCTGTGTAAAATTCTTCGTCACTCATATTTCCACTCGAAAGAAGTTTTATTTTCATTTGAGTTTTGTTTAAGAGACTGTCCAGATATGAAGCTGTTTTTGCCAAGTCTCCGTTTGTTATGGAAAGTATGTCAGCCAGTATCCATTTTGCATTACTGCTCAATTCTCTGAATGTTGTGCTTTCTCGAACGAAGCCATCGACAACAGATATGTTATAACGAGACAAACTTCCAGTCATTTGAGTACATTCAATATGCCGCCAGGGATAAACAAACTTGTAGAAAGCGCTACAGCAACAGATATATGCTGACTAATTAAAAGCAATATAAATTCGGCAAACAATAAGAGAGATCATATGCATAAAACATCGTTGATCTTCATACATTCATATTTTTTAAACACTTTCTTAATTAAAAATTTGCTATATTTTCAAATTTGCCATGCGACACTCAATCTAAGAAGAAATTACTTTCTTGTAGATACTGAACATAATGTTTCATGATGTTCTAGGCTTTTGAACAAAGTTTCGTTGTTTTGTGTGGAAATATTCATTCTATGGATACTTTGACGAATTACAGATATGACATGTATTTAGAGTTTGATAACGCCTTTACATGTAAAACCTTTGTAATTGAAGTATATTAACCCAGTCATATCAGAAGTCATAAATGAACGGGTTCGGAGACGTATTCGGATAGCTATCGATGTGTTAGGAGACTTGTTATCTACTCTGGCCAACAGTTGTGAGGGATGTGTAGTATTAGCGTGCCCACTCGTGATCTGATGCGGATGTGTCCGAGAGCCTTCAGGTAGGTCTAGTAAGACTAATGCAGTCAGCACCTATTGTCAAAGACTTGAAGAATTATTCACTTCGAAGGTTTATTCGCCGCTACAGAATATGGTATGGGTTACTGACGTTTGAATTCTACTGCTGACAGCCTCAACATAAATAAATGCGGAAAGCTTAAGTTGCTTTCAAAAACCAAGAGCCAGACCCTGCCAAAATTTGATTAAGTCTTCAGTCTTCAGTAATAAGGACAGGAGGTCTGTCGACCTATATTAATCCTTGCAGTTTGTAATACTGTGGAGGTCCAATTTCGTTTTGAATATATTAACAGACGGTGCTGATATTACGTGTTCCGGTAGAGAATTCCAGTAATTCACTACTCGATGCGAGAAACGGAACTCCATACGTAAACGGTTTGATCTCGGTTTTTGAACTTTCTTCGAATGTCCTCTCAAATGATCGGTTCTAGACGGAAGCAAAAGATAAGACATGTTAATACCAAGGTCATCGTTCAGTATACGATAAGTGAAGGAAAATCGCAACATTATGCTTCTTACTGTCTTGTCTTAGAAGCACTTATATGAAAGATCTGAAAACTTTAACATTGACAGTTATCATAGCAGTCAAACTGATGTACAGAATGCCCTTCAGTATAATACTTTGACACAATTGTAGTGAATTACTTATATGCAACGAAAAATCACCTAATGATAGTGAAAGTCAGCTCTCCATCTTGAAGTGTAATTATTTGACTTTACACTTATAGGTTCACTCAGGAAAACACTCCCTAAACAAACGATATCCATAACTGAATAATTATATTTAACTCCATTCCTTACCAATTTAACTGTGATCTGACTTTTATTTGGATATGACTATCACCTTATTTCTGATAAGTTACGAACTTTAATACACCTAGTCACTTGTCATGTCGAAAATTCTGTAAAATCTAAAAGATTTGGAAAATCCACCTTATGGTAATATTGGTGAATAAAATGCCACTGCAGACTAATTCGCTTCATTTCGGATAATTGTTACCTTCAATTGTAGCTAGTCAGCACCAGCTTCCACTACAGTCATTAACAAACACTGCTAGTACTAGCTCGTCATATTTTGACACTCAGTAGCATGTTTTTCATTGACCGTTTAGAAATAGAATAATATATTTGTGTAACATTGGCAACACGGTAAGATAGAAACGACCTTTAATTTGGAAGTATTGATTGATCGGTTGGATCAGTACTTTTGAGTGGGCAGTTGCAGTTAGTCAGAATCCAATTGAGTCGAGAGTGTACACGCATCTCAACGGCTTATTTACTTTAACGGCAATTCCAGCCAATTAATCAATTTGCTCATCATATTTTGGCAAGCCTGTAAAAATGCCTTGGAATCTTGGTATGTCTAGAACAAAAACGGGATCAGACGTAGAATCTAAATCTAATACCGAAGCGAAAGACCCTGATACTAGAGAACAAACTATGTGAAACAATAACGGTGCCAAAAGATAAATAGTCAGCTAAACCACCAATCCAACCACCTGTAAAATATCGTCTAGGCGGATTGTTTTCTGTGTGGGAGCTAGAACGTCGACAATACCTGATGAATTTTGCCAGCAACCAGCATACTTGAGTACCAGGTATTATCCTTTCTATAAAAGCGTTAAAAGAGCTAAGACTATAGAGCACTAAGATTTCACCAACTAGGGACGTAAATAGTGAACAGTGTTAGTGCTTTTAAAGCATACTGTTTTTCTAGGAAAAGTCTCATCAGTAAAGGATGAATGTCATCTATCTTCATTGGACGTCTTCATAAACTGACAACAGCAGAATTCTCATATTATTCAAGGACAAAACTCGGAAGGGCTTTTCTCAGTCGATTTATCGAGGATTCGAACTCAAAATCACTGCAAAATAAGTTAATGTAACACGTTCGTGGAAGCTCAACAGCTGATCGTGCAAGAGCAGTTTTAGAAAATCAGATATTCGTGATCGTAGGTTGTGAAAAGTTGAACTGCCATAGTAGTGAAAATGTTTACCAGCAAAATGTCCAGAAACTGGACTTTCGCTCAAGAAGCATTCGGTGACTACACTGAAACTTCAAAGACGTGCATGCTAGATGGTGAAAGAACAATTCAAGTTAAGGTACTTCACATATCCCATAAATTTCGTGCGGTGACTATAAACCCCTCACCTCAACATTGTGTAGAGAGTTATTTAACTGTCCAGTGACGATTCTGTTACATTCGGGTGCAGCATGTGCATTAATCAACAGTAATCTTGTTCTTAATGATGTGTTCCCGTAAGATACTTATAACGTAGATCTGAACGCAACCAATGGCGATTTGATGGTTGTTAGAGATATAATAACACCGAGATGGACCCTTGACAAATGGACTTTCATATACAATACTTTTGTTGTTCAGAACCTATCTTGGGGTGTTATTTTAGGCGCAGACTTGTTAACTAATTGCGGAGGATGTCCAGACGTAAAGTAAAGGATAGTTACGGCACGAAATTCAGTTTGGAAACTGGATAGTTACGTTAGGAAAGAGTCTCCTAGTTATAAAATAACGACTAATGCTAATCAAATCGAGACAAACGCTATGTGGAGTTATTAAAAAGAAGGTTAAAAAGGTTTCATTATGTATTTGCTGGGAAATCAAAATATATCGAATGTACGAACGCTGTGGTTCATCGGATTGACAATGAAGAGATAAAACCATATAGTCGACCTCCTCGTCGTGTGCCCGTAGAGTTAATTATATGATACAGGACATTTTTGCACGTAATATAATCACGCTGTCCGTATCACATTGAGCAGCTTCGATTTTCTTAGTAAAAAAACGGAACCTCAAGACTGTACATGAATTACCGAAAACCCAGTGAGGTCGCAAAATGTGATTCTCACCCATTGCCACAAATAGACAATAATTTGGATGCACCAACCTGTTCGAAGTGGTGCTCTCACTAGATTAAGCATTTAGCTATTGGCAAGTCTAATAATATATCTATATGATCGACACAAGATGGCGTTCACCATACCATCGGGTCTACATGAATTTCAAACCATACCGTTCGGTCCAACTAGTCAGCCTTCTGCTTTCCAACGATTAATACGCACAACACTGTCTAGATTGGTGCCACTTGCTCGTTTAGTGTATCTTGATGATGTTAGAGTACACTGAAAAAATTTGCAAATATTTTTAGAACGCCTCCAGATATTTGGTTTAAAAGTACAGTCATTGAAACATTTGTAGAGGAAGCAAGTAAAATTTCTAGGTGATATCGTTGATGATCGATGAATACTCTAGAATAGCAAAAACGTCGATGTCATCCGAAACTGGGTTGTTCCACAAAATGCTAATAAATTCCTCAGCATCGAAGGTTTAGCAGCTTATTATAGGAGGTTTATCAAGGAATTTTCAGAGAAAGCGGCTTCTCTTTGTAACTTGCTAGGAAAGGATGATAAATTGGAATGGACTGACAAGTGCCTGGAATCTTTCGACCAGTTGAAAGAATTGTCGTGTTTGGCACTAATTTTAGCATATTCAGATTGTTCTCCCACTTTTGGTTGTTTCACCACAGACACCAATGCAAGTAACCAAGCTATCGGTGAGGTATTATCATAAGTTTCTTCGGATGGGAAAGAAAGAGTTAGTGCGTATGTAAATCACATGCTACACAAGTGGGAAAAACTTACTGTACAACACGCGAAGAGATGCTAGAAGTCGTCTACATTGTGTGCTACTCCCGACATTACTTATCGGGACGTTTGTTATTAGAACTGATCATAAAGCTATAATAGAGTTACAAGATTTCAAAGATCCCGAGGGAAAATTGCCCGATGGCAAGAGTGCTTACAAGAATATGACTACGAATACATCCATAGGCCCGATATATAGCACCAGAATGCGGACACTTTATCACGCAGAGCTAAACTCCATGGAAACTTCCCTTCGTACGTCACACCAACAACTAATGCAATAGAGTTGGAAATTATGGGATATGTTGGTTGTGTTCATATTCATCCAAAAGATCCAGAAACTTCAATAGTGTATAGCACTTTGAAAAATCAGAGTTCTCGGCCGTCTTCAGAAGAAATTCAAGGTGTGGGTTCGGAAGGCATATGTCTATGGTCCATGTGGAAATTCCTAACATTGATGGACGGAGTATTATATTTTTGTTATATTTCATACTATTCGAGATAACTAGTAGTCCCACAGTATATGGTTGGTGGTGTCTTGGACAAAATTCATGAAGACTTGGGGTATGGATGCCAAAGTGCAATTATAGAGGCCATCAACCTTAGATATTTGTGGCCAAAACAATGGGGAGACATACGGAATTACGCCAGAGCCGATAAGATCTGTAAAATGACTAAGAACACACACGACGCGCGTGCACCCCCAGTAAATATGAAGCCAGGTTACCCAAACGAGACAGTGGAGATTGATATTATCGGACCATTACAGAAAACCAACAGGGTAAATAATTATATTT